TGAGGCCCATCTCCTGACACATGCACTGCTGGTGGCAATGGCACATCAAAATTCCTGCGGCATATATGCAGCCATCAATCACGGGAATCACAAGAGGAGAACAAGTACAGGCGAAGCTCGCAAGCGGGTCTGCCACAACAGCGCATCCTTATGGTATGTATTCAGGAGCTTTGCGGAGGCCGGTCTCTTCCAATGACCACTTCAGCCCCAAGACATTCATGTCATGATTGGGTCAGACCTTTGTCTTGCAATTACGGGATCTGGGTCTCCGAACACTATGTGTAACAGTCCACAAGCAGCAAACATCATGGCCTCGAACTTGTTCCGTGAGATCCTGAGTCTTTGAACGTACATTACTTGGGACATGCAACCAAGCATGACAAGTACGGCTGACCCCGCTCACAAAACGATGCGTGGCATCCACGCATGGATGCTTGCATGCAGTGTGTCAGTCCTTGTGTTTTCATGACTCTCGCCGATGCTTGTAAGTCTCCTCTGCGACTCTTATTGTCAGTTCCGCTTGTACGCCTGAATGTCGTCAATGCTCCACAGGCAAACTTTTGACTTACACGAGACCTGTGTATGCTTGGTGGACACTGCTTGGGATTGTCGTCACGACATTGTTGGAAGAACTAGCAGGGTTCTGATAAGACTTACATCTGTCGGTAGCAGTTTGTCAGTGGCAACGAAACTTGTCATTCCGCAGTTGTTTCGGGGGTCTGCTCTTGATGAGCAGTACTGTAGCATGTTTTGCAAGTTAGCCTGAACCTTGCATTGGTCACACACCTTGGTCCACGAAGAAGGGCATGTCTGGTTATATCTGGATCCCTCGTCCTCATTCAATCATCACACTTTTGGAAGGTGCTTGTGCTTCCTGCCGTTCGGATTCCCAGACCCGGGAATCTGTCAAACTTCGCAAGTTTATCTTTTTGTCCACCTCTTTTAGGTAAACACTGCCTGTTTGGCGGTGTCGGCGTTTCTCCGCAGTACGACACGCATCTGTGAAACGGTCACATGCTATCTGATTCACGCATGTGCCAAGCTTCGCACGAGGTGGGCCATACTTCTCTCTTTGCAATGTAGGAGAGCCCCGATGGTGGTTGGACAATAGTCCGTGCTATACCCAGCCAATCCAAGCTGCTCGACTCCTTCTGTGTAACAGGGGGGCTCCATCTAAGCCCTAATGCCCAACCGTGCCAACGAACAGCGGTTACAAGGCTGACGCATTGCCAATTGCGGGGCTCAGAGGAATACCATGTTGTAGCTAGCTGCTGCTCCGAGCTGGCCATTGCAAGAGCATCTGTCTGCGCTAGTCCTGTCTCTACACGCCTCCGGTTCGGACGAGCAGCACGAAAGTCTGCAGCTCCGACTTGGCAACTATTGAAGCTGTTCTTGGCTCGTCCCGAAGCAATGCATTCTCGCCAAAGTAGTCGCCTCCAGCATGCAGCGCAGCAGACAGGAAGCGTCTCAGCACCACTCACTCCGCATGTAATGCTCCGCAATGCTTCACGAGCCCCAAAGCTAGAATCTAGAAATGCTTGCCCTTGCTCTGGCTGATACTTCCGAAGCAGATTCCTCCAACGCACTCATGTTCATGAGACAAACCTAGTTATTGTCAGCGGCTGGCAGCTTTGCCGCAAGCTGTGTTTCCCTTGTGGCTACACTTGCACATCGAAGACACCTGTGACAGCTTAGGTGGGCTTGATGCCGTGCCGCCTTGCTTGAGAACTGCCACCTCCGAACCACCAACTGCAACAGATGCCTGGGCGTTGCAAGCCGTGGCTTTGCAACATGATCAAGAGTCATGAGCTAGCATTTGCACCCAGAACCCTTTATAGCAAGTGTAGACAACCCTCTACTACAGAAACATGCAGGCATACCACGCAAGCCGACTACATGCCCACACACATGTGATGTTGCAAGTCTCACAACTCACAATCCTTGGGAGGTGGTGCCCTGCCCAGCTTTCTGCTCGCTGCTATTCTGTCGCTTTTGCCTTTTGGTGGTACACTTTAAACGCCTGGTCATTTTGCGGATCAGCGCTGTTGTCGGCACCCGAGGGATGCCCGCGAACATTCGAGAGCACTGCTACGATGCGGTTTGGAGTAACCGAAAGACCAGTCGCATCGCACGGCTGAGTACACACAAAATCGGAGTCGGCTTTGGGCACTTCAGAGTTTGCGCTGATAGTTTCCCCCAAGGCTTCTGGGGACCTCCACTCTCCATCACTGGGCAAGGCTCGCTGTGTGGATTGTTGTCCTTCGCTGCCTCTCTTTGTGTCCTTTGAGGAGGTACGGCAAGCGTCCTCTCTCCTCCTTTTCTCCCTCTCCCCTTTGCGTGTCACATCCGCATAGTAACACCAACAGTGTTGGCTGTATGGGCAAGAGGCATCACCGGATCGGATTATGTAGAAAGCATCTCCGACGTCCCCTTCAGTGATCACCTTGGCTTGAGTAATCTAGGCAGACTGCCAGGAGCTCATTGCCACTAATTGTTACAAACCTTGGAAACTCTACCAACATGTGACAGGCACTTTGTCACCAGAGCGGAACGTCTTCGGCTCGCACGCCATTGCTAAGGTGGGCAGCCTCAGGTGTACGTTCTCTGGCTTTTACACCTTTACATCCACCCCATTGCATGACATAAAGCTTCTCGACATCATGAACTATCTTTCGTTTGTGGAGGCTCCATGTCAAAGCTGGGCCATGGCGCTATGTGCAAACGAGCAGCTCTGATTCAGGCAACCGCTGGAACAGCTTCACCTCCAACCGACTGCCGATTGGCTTCACGAGTCACTTTCTGGTTCAACACTATGCTGATGTTGCCAAAATTTGCGAAACCACCACTTCAGCCAGTCCCCGGTTGCCATCAATGACAGCAATGCGCAGGGCTACACGGAGTTGAAGGAACACTTGTGATTCGCCCTCTCACGCCTGCAACAGGAATTTGGAGGCACCCGATGGAGCAACCGGCCGACTTGCGCCTGCGCAAATCAAAGTTGAGCCATCACAACAACAACCGAATACGTACGTCCCGCTGTTGAGTCAATGATGAATGCTGGAAACCTGCACGAAAAGGAAGGTTCAAGGCCATAGCATGCAAAAGCTGACTGGGAATTACAGCCTGCCTTTGGAATCGGACAAGTTCTGAGCCGGCACATCCTGCAGACGGAGATTGACATACCGTGGGGTCCTTCTTACATGCGCGACTAGTCGCGAGTCCATCTTTTGAAGCTTTAGGCATACCCAGCAACTCGCCTCTGGCGCATGGCTGCAGTCTGAGCACAGTAGTGCTCCCATGACCCCACCACCTGCGTCGAAGCAGATGCAGGTGGGTAGCTCAAAGCACCTACACTGACTCGCGCCCGCTGCCAGACTTGTTCTACGACTGCTCAACCCATTCCACCGGTCGCTCACTTTGTCATGCTCCACCTTCTGCAGCGCAGGCAGGGTGTGGCAGGTCTGAGGGCTGATGTCTGCAGGCACGACTTGTTTGCAGTGCTTGCGACGATCCTTGGGTCACTTTGCCTGAAATGCAGAGCAGCAGCTAAAGGGGCCTCTGAACTCTACTGTGACTGCGGCTTCTCTGTGAGCCGAACCCTTGAATGGACATTGCCTATTGCACAATCCTGAAAAGAGAATGAATTGCTGTCTTAGGCTTTTGCCGAGCCCAGACAACAGGCAAGGCAGTCAAGTCTTTTTGCAGACAGCATTGAAGAGAAACAGCAGGTATGCTTCAGGCGTACTGCAAACCGCTCAGTCTGCTTGCAAAGGCAAACATCCCGAGTGGTGTGTTTTCACGCTGAAGATGGCTGCTACGGAGCCACGGAGTTGCCGGGAGTCTGTACCATCGTACACTGTACGCGAAGTGCTCAGAGGCTCTGCGCCCCTGCCTCTTCCATGTGCTACACGCCTCCGGACGTACGCATCTCAGTGGTCATCGGTGGCACGGCAGTTTTCATTTGGAGATCTTCACCGAGCACTTGGAGACCGAAATAGTGTGATTCCGAGGAGCGAACTCTCTGCCTATGGGCCGGCCACGGCCTTTTCTTCTCCAAGCAAATAGCACAGGACAGCTCTGCATAGGATTTCGCCTCTGTCCTCAGGAAAGCCAACGGTTTGCCAAGATTCTCGAAAAGCTTTGCAAGATTCAGTGCATGATGCTGAGACCACTGCCCACTTGTGAAGGGCGGCAGTGTAGCCTCGCACTTGCTGCCAAGGGTTTCGTCGGGTCGATAGCCAGAGTTATCTTCATACCTTGTGCAACTTCTAGTCCAAATTCAACAACACAGGATACTTGGAAAACCAATAAGAGTCCGAAACGATGTACTTTTCAGGGGAAATAGGATAACCAATGGGTTTGACATAGGTAAGCAGAATGACAAGACCATCTACAAAAACCTACCGGTGAATCATGCACATTTTGAGAAAAGCAACGAAGACACCGTGGTCCGTCCTAGACTTTATATGGTTTGGCTTGTGCAGACTTCGGGGCCTTGCATTTTCGCGTTTTGGAAATTTCAGTCTTTGCTTTTGGAGCCGTAGGACGGTTGGCAGGTAGGCAAGCCTGATACCGCGGCGATTTTGGCGCCATGTACAGATTGAGTTCCACGCAAGAACATGAATCGGAACCTTAAACTACCCGAGTAAATTCAAACAGAAGTTTAGAACTTTAGGGTACCCAACCCACTGGGCTCGTTTGTATATGGCATTTCCTCTGTTTGATTCTGTGTGAGTGGAACGATGCGGAGAGGCTGACTTGACAATGCAAGCAGCTGGCAGTCTCTGCTCAGCCCAAACAAAATATAAAACCTTCGGAAACCCGGGGGGTGCCATGCTTGTATTCCCGCTTTTCCTTCGAGGGAACGACGGAACCAGATGAAAACTGCTATTCTAGTCTAACTCGGGATCCTGAAGGCGTATATCAGTGGGAAGCAACAGACAAACACATGTGCAGCAGAAACACTTGTTGCAGTGCTTCGTGGGTAAAGCTGTGCTGAGCTAGCGACGGGGATCGATGCCCTCAAGACCATAGAAGGCACCAGCGAGCTGTCCTAACGGCACATACGCCCGTCAAGAATTGACTTGCTTTTGCATCTGTGAGTTCGTCGAACCGTTCGGACTGCACCCTCCGCAAGCCACAGCCTGCTATCGCCCCCACAGTATCCGCATCGCCCAGGAAGTTCACAGCCTCTGCGAGAGCTGGTCAGGCCATGCTTGGGCAATCACAGCAGTGCTGGGCAGGAAGACACTTCCAGGCAGACGCACTCCACGAAATACTCAACATCCTTCTGCAAGTCCATAGCTGCCGACCGCGTGTTCTGGGCATCGCTGCTGCAAGACTTCACTGCAGAGTCATGCTACGAAGATTGGCTGAAGCAATGCCTGCCGATCTAATGACGATGGCCGATCGATGCCAGCCCAACCCGGCGCGCATGAAGAGGCCACAGCAACAGTCCAGGTTCTTGCATTGATGGTACTAGATGGTACTGGTAAGGCGCATCTACAAGATTCGACAAAGATCACTGCAATCGCACAAATGTCTCAGCTCAACCAAGGTCCCGGCCTTCTCTATGGCTCGGTGGAAGCTCCTAGGCGCAGTCGAAAGGAGAATTCTGGGACGTTCGGGGAACCACAAAATGGCTGTGTGCGGGTTGCATGTCCCGGAAATCCCTGAGATAAATTCGAGAGCCATGAGCGCTTCTGCACCGCTCCCCGACCTTGTACAGTACAGCACAGTACGGATTCACGACCCGTGAGGCATCATCACCGGATCGCAAGATGATGAATCCCAAATTTTGGTGACACGTAGCCCCGATTCAAGAACGGTGCACGCGACTGCTTTGCTACAACTTGCTTTCGACAGGGTGCTCGGTGCTCGCGACGGCATGGAGGGCCATGGCCTGATGCGAAACAGATCGGAATGCAACAAATTGTCGGCAGAATGCCTTCGGGGCATCCTTCAACAATTCGGGCAACTTGCAGTCAAGTTTCCAAGCCGTCCATGCAGTAGCCTCGGCTTGCAAGGTGCCCTGAAAGGAGCCCGGAAGGGGCTCGTCGCTCGCCAAGTTGCTTCCAGCGTAGCATCGGCTGACCGGATGCCCGTTGTATTTCTCCCCCCGGGCCCTGCCACAAACTGCAGGCGCGGCTCCAACCCACACATCACACGCAATGGAAGGCGAGGTATCAGCAACGGTGAGCAAGGGCTCAAGCTTTTGTCACTGTTTGCGCCTGAATGTTTGCAGAAGCTCCAGTGATGGCTCTTGCCAGTTCCAGCATCTCTCCATTGGACCCTCCTCACGAGCGCTTCAGAAAAACACAACTTCGCCTGTGTCCTTTCCGATAACACAAACCACGGCGAAAGGAGGAATGCAGGAATGGCAAAGAACCCCATACGGGCAGCAGGCCCCTCGAAATCATTAACTGACAGGCAACCGTCCGGAACAGGCAAAGCGAGTGTCCGGAGAGCAGCGAATGCTGCCCCGGGGGTCAAGAGCTGTTCAGGCAAATGCAAAATCCCCGCGCTGGAAGGCTGCAATTGACGAGTCAGTACCAAAACACCACGACGATCGGCAGTTCGGACGTTGGAGGCAATGGTAACAGAATCAGGCAAGCTCAGGAAGCTGCAGCTGCCGCATCACGAAAGAACTTATTCAACTTCAAGGTTTGACCCTGCACAATTGCAGCGACTTTATTTCCAGCTCAGCTTCAGCGCCTTGTTGGAAGTTGCGAGGGCTTGAATCTCGCGCAAGTCCGCAGAGCTCTGACCCTCAGGATCCTGGACAGGACGGCTAAGCAATGGTTGCGCAAGGTGATGCACGAAGTTCGCGCCGCTGCAGCGTGCCTCCGCCAAACGCTCTCCCAAGCGGGCTGCATAAACGGCGCTTTGCCTTCGACGTCTCTTATGCTCACCACGAACATAGGAGGTTCATGACACTGTCTCCGAGCCAGGCTACTGGATGAAGAACTCTCTGGCCGACATCTCTTCCTGGCGTCAGGCAGTGTGTGAGAGCCGAGGCCTATCTGAAGTCGTGGCAGTCAGCCCACATCCGTCAGTGCTCTGGCTTCAACGGCCCAGCCAAGGCCCTTCCTTGCTCCATCTGTCCTGTGTTCGTTCTTTGCTACAAGTGACGCAGGAATAGGCAGGATCTCGAGGGCACCCTGAAGATTTGACGCCTGCATTTGCCAGGTCCTGTTCTTTGTTGACCGTGCTGGCATGCCGTGCACTGGGCCTTCCGGTTGATGGCGCTGTGCACCAGGAAAGCTAGGTAGCGCGCTGTCTCAGTTGCCAAAATACCTGTTGGGCTCTCGGTGCCAAGCTCTGACGGCGTCTCCCTCCTAACCTAAACAGCACAAGAAGTGAAAGGCGCCGACTATCCGTAGCAACAGCTGGCCTGGATGTGTTGCAAGACTCGACCTCGCGGCAGCATCCAGGGCCTCCTTCAATTCAAGACATGTCTGGCGAATCCCTGGCATTCCTTCATGAAGGGAAGGCGAAGGATGTAGCGCAGCAAGACACAGACACGGATAATTTCGAAATGTGGCCAGAGGCCGAAGCCTTCCGATCAGTCGCACACGCTTGGAGCAGGTCCTCCAGTTGCTCAGGCCGATTGTAAAAGATCGGAACCTGCAGCACATCCCACCCCTCATGAGCCTTCTACCTCGTACCACTGCGTGCACTATGACAGAAATACATTCAGTGTCGCTCAGCAGTCTCAGCATATGCCAACACATGACAGCATCTGTTCTTTACAGGAGCTCAAGGCCCGAAAGAGTAGCCAGCGTCAAGGCACCGGAGCTAGTCGCATGAGCCCGCCGTTGCCGGAATCACCTGTGCCGGCAAGTCGCAAAACTAAAGCCTTATGCGCGACGAACGTGGTGAGTAAGATCCTCTTGCACCAACACGTCAGTCTCTGGAAGTCAAATGGAAATCTGTTTGCAGGCCAGTCCACTACTGCCAGGATTTAGGTACTCAGGGTCAATGGGCTCGTCTGGATAGAGTGCAATCAAGCTCTTGGCCTCAGCACACTGGTTGCAGCTGGGTTGCAGCTGCACACAGGTCGATGGGGCATCAATTCAAACTTGGGCACTAGTCTACCGGCGTCTGCCAACCAGCGACATAGAGTGCAAGCATCTCGCTTTTATATTCAGGCGGGTGACAATATTGTATCCCAAACCGAAGCTGGTGCGCTTCTTCCGTTCGGGATCAAGTCGCCAAGGAGTGTTCATGGCCTCGAGCCGCTTGTGCACACAGCGAGGATCCCTGAAAACATCGAAGACCATGACCCACAACTCCGACTTGCTGAATCTGAAAGAGGTCGGGAAGTCAGCGGGCATCTTCGATGCTTGCTGCTGAAGCACCATATTTTGCTAATGTCTTCCAAGCTTTTGCAGTGCACTCTGTGACTCTGTTTTCGTAATCATACTAGTCATTTATATGCGTCGTGTAAGCATGAAATGCCATCGTCGCCACCCAGCAGCCTCCGCATGCCAGCACCAAAATCCTCAGCGAATGGGCAAGGTTCTGGGTAGGTGGCGATCAGGCGAGGAAGCACCAGATGGAAGGGACGCAAGAAACCTCAAGACCGTCTGGGCTTGCTGAAGGGATTGATGCATCTGAGGATCTCTTCCGAAGATCACTCCCATCCAAGTGTCCACAAAGGCACAACGAGTCAGCAAGGCAGAGTGCCTCAGCGTTTGGAGCGTCAAAAGACTTCTAAGAGAGACCACCGGGCGAACTGTCCACCCTCAAATTTCCGTTGCTGCAGGCCACCATTGAAGTGTCATCTGTCCACTGCCCTGGCTTCAGGATGCCTCGCTCAATCTCCTGGGCCACTGGAAAACATTGCAAAATCTGTGCGTGGATGGATTCGGAAGGGCAGAACAAGTTCGCAACAAGCGACTGCTAAGTCGCCAAGAAGCTGTGGTGTTGGGGTTGTGGCAATCGAAACTATCCTCAGAAAAGTCCATCATTCTCTGTGCCGAACATTAGTACCAGCCACTGGCCACCATGAATGTCTGAATCTCACGGCAAGAGGCGTGGTCCCAGCGGCTCTCACCGGGATCATCCGTGACCTATGCATCCACCATGACACGCATCGAAATCCCTGAAACGGTTTTCTTCACTTAACTCAGTAGAACCCTCATGCGATTTTGCCCAAGCACCACCAGCAAAAAAGTCACAACCTGCCCCTCTTTGATGCCGAAAACGGCTTGGATACTGCCTCCGGCACTCTTGGAGACAAACACTACAAGTTGTGCTGCTGCCATTTAGCCACATCATGTCACTCCCATTCATCGTCTCGGTTTCCATGTTCTGACCGCAGTGGAAACGTCTGGAATTGTGGATGCCATTCCCTGGTGACACTGAAGACAATATCAATAACAGTCGCGGTGGAAAGTGGATGTTCAACTGCCACCAACCCCTGCCAGAACATCGACATTGCTGTACATGTACCTGGCATAGTAATACTTACGCAGCCATCTCGGCCAACACATAACATGACGTCTCAAGCTGGGGAGAGCCTCCGTCCAAAGCCACCCGGTGCAGAGGATCATCACAGCTTGCATTCCACAGTGTGGATGTTACCAACGCTTAAATTACCTTGCATCTCACGCTTTGGAGAGAGGCGTTGTCAAGCCAGCTAGATCTCTCAAACTGTCTCAAGTCTCGTACGAGTAGTGGGTCCAACGTGATCTGCCTCTCAGAAAGTCTACGACCCATACGACGGCCAACTTGCAAACCGCAAGCGTTGAATACCCGTCGCGCCTCCAAAAATTCGAGAGGCGCACCGACCTGACTCAGCTCTGTTGCCGGTTGGCTTGTATCGGAGGTCATGCTGGCATGTGCCATACCATACAGCCTCATACTGTCAGATTTGCGAGACCACCCGCTCCATGAGACGGAAGCCAGCCAGGGCTTGAGACGGATGTCTTTCATGGAAAACCGACGAGTACCCTAGACTATACATTGGAGAATGCTCAATCGGACTTTTCTACGCGGCTTCAGCTTTCAACACTGCAACGTAGCGATACCGTACTCTTCTTGCCACACATGCAATGTGAACCTTTCATTACTCCGAAGTCTGCCACCACTCAAGCTGAACCTGAACGCTGTTTGCTTTCATGGTGCCCAGTCTGCCACTGCGAGCCCCAGCAGCGCACCAGCGGCACGTCTTGCTTGCTGAGGTGCCTGCAAGGCTCTTCTGCTTAACATGTCGGATCAACACATCCAGACAAAGATGTCTCGACACTCCGCCTCACTCTGAGGTGGAACCGTTCTGGCACGACAAGCTGCTTGAAACATGAGTGCAATGCAAAAACTATGACAGCCGCGCACGCATCGTAACTTTTCTTGAGCACACGAACCGGAAGAACACCATAACAGTACCGACTGTGCTCCAGTTGGGATGCAGACCCGGCACATCTTGATTGAGCCAGCTCGAGGTCCGCGTCAGGAGTTCATCCTGAGAATGCCGCACAAAGGGGAGCGGCCGCCAGTTGACCAAGAGTGTTTAGGGGCCTCTGCAGGAACCTAACACAAGCGCTGAAAGACGACTCCGGAGACTGTTTTCGTCCGCTTGGAGGGCATCTGCTTGCATCCAGGCTGCTGGGACCTCAGTTCTTCCCACATGCGATTCGCCCGCACTTTAAGAGACGCGCCCGGGGGCCGAGTCCCCCCGGGACGCGGCCGCATGTTCTTGTTTTTCTGTGTGAAGTCTCCCCATGTTTGTCTCATGTTTCGCCAGGCCAGGGCGCCTTCTCCAGCAAAGACCAGTCCACCAAGCCAGTCGCCCTGCCTCCTCTGCCGGCCGCTGAATGTCTCACGCACAGATCACGTCAGCTTCTCGCAGCCAATTGAAATTAGCACTTCCATGTTGAAAGTTGGATCTATCGGCCGCTGAAGTCTCAAGACTCGCAGCCTGGGCAACTATCCTGCAGTCCTCGATCCTTCAGCTTCCGATTCACCTTGACGAGTGGACTGTCTCGAAGATGTGACATAACCTCCTGGTTTCCAACTGCAGTCAACAGGGTTCGTGCGTACAGGTGCTTATGTTGGCTTTTCTTGATTAAATCGCATTGTTCAAAACTGTGCTGCGACAAGCAGGAAACCCCGAAACAGTAAGCTCTGCAAATCTGAATCCGCGGGGTCCGAATTAGACAGTACACCTAGCCACATAGCCCAGTACACATGGCCGCATAGCCGACATAGCCCAGGAGTCTGGACAAAACAAGGCCGGACATTTGATCCAACATGACGAAACGACATGCTCGCAGAGTCAGGGAATTGCACCGGGTCCTTGAGTATATCCATGCCGGCTGTACCCGCCATGGCTACGTAGTAGCGGAGTGTGGGTTTTTAGAGGACCGTGCCCGAGAGCTTCGGGGTACACATATTTGATGCATCTTTCTAGTTGGCTGCTTATTGCGGGCCATCAGAAGCCCAGATTTGAGGCTGCGCATCTCTACCTGCGCTCAGGCTGACTGTTTGCGGTAACTTGTGCGGTGTGGCTGCACACGCCAGAACCCTTGTAAGACCGACGTGCTCGGATCAGAAGCCGCCAAACGCAGAATAACGCAGAGACAACGGAATGTTCAGGCATACCGGAGGAATATATCTGAGAAAGTGATGTTTTACACTGCCAAACGACAAAAGCAATGAAGCAAGCTCTTCAGTCAAGCGGTATGTACAGAGAGCACTGTGCCTCTTTTCGGCACCTGTGCAACTGTCACTGCGTGGATCACAGTGTGTGCTTTCCTTTACTGGTGACTTGGTGGATTGCCGGCCGAGCATATTACTCCTAGGCCGACGGGGAGGAAGCGCAGTCGACAACGCGAGATGCTCCATCACGATCGCAAGCGATGGCCTCAGATCCGAGAGGGAAATTCTCATCGAAAAAATCCGCGTGTGGCACCCTTACGCGTCCCAAAGACCCTTTACGTGACCATGCAGAGTGATCCTATCCGCGGTTCGTCACGCGTGAAAAGGCTACACACAGTGAACACCTGCATGAAACAGCCGAGATGCTTGGCTGCACAGGACGGCGGCCCAAACACCTACATCATTGGAGTCTTTAATGGCCGGCTGGTCCTTTTTTGCTCGTCTCAGTCTAGGCAAGGACGGCTCAACGAGTGGACGAAGTTTACCCTTGCCACACCTGCCGTTCCACCAATGCCCAGAATTACAGGCTCGGCGCCCAAAAGCAGCTGCAGCTCATGGCCTGCAAACGACATGGTGAATCTATGCACCTTGCCACTAGCTGAAGAGTGCAGACTGTGCCTGGCCCTCGCCAAAGAATTCGCGCGGCCTCATACGGTGTAGGCATGTTCGCAACTCTCGCTGTGAGCTTTGGGGCTCAGCTTTGCAACCATAAGCCATAAGCTTGTCAGTGCCATCGAACTACCGATGCACAAACACTGCGGCTCCTCTGCCACAGCGCCCACCAAAGCCAAAGCAAGCGCTCCAGAAGAGCCCCGCAGTCGCGATCGACGCAGAACAACCTGTTGGCGCGAGCAGTGGCCCAAATTGTTGGATGAGGGCGTTGTCGCACAAGCTGATGGTGACGCAGGCATGCTGCTAGGACAATGTGCTTGGGACACGGCTTCACCCATCACACAAAAGATGCCTCTTCACAGTCTGTACAAATCCTTTTGCACTTGCCCTCGATTTGCAGAGCCTAGACATGGGTAGTTCTCTAAGTTAGGGTCCTTCTTAGGGTGCTTTTTATAAGGGTGCCGTAATATATTGGGGGCTAATTCAGCAACAACCCCTGCCCAAGCCAATCCAGTCACGCCTTCTCGACCGATCCGGTTCAGTCTGCCTGCTCTCTGCACATGAGCCGCTGAGGCTGGCACCACGTAGGGCACCGTGTGGAGCAAGATGGGAATGCATCCCCCAGCGCTGATCCACGCGAGCTTGGATGCCCTGCCTCTGTGTTGCATGCACACCGTATTTCACATGCCTTCTGCCTGCCAACCTGAACTCAGAGAGAAGAGCAGTGAAGCAGGGAAGCAAGTGGCCACCTGCATCTTGCATCCCGGCCGAGACCAGTAGAAGCGCCGACTGGAGCATGGCCCCCATCTGTCATGCAGGGATGAATCTGGTCTTGTCCACGAGAATGCCACCGTCCAACTGTGAACTTGCGTAGCCCACCAGCCAAGTCCCGAAGGCACCGAGGCAGCGCACAAGGCGACAGACCTCACTTCGCGACAATGCCGTCTCACTCACACGACAGCCCTTCCAATCTGGCCGGCAGCAACTTACGATGTTTCGGAACGCGTAGGTCGTGTGCGGGAATGATAAGAAAGAGCAGAAAAGTGTCGAATCTAGCTCCTGTGCTGCCTACAAGGCAAGGCATGCACATCGCATCGGTCGAGGCCAGTGTTCAAGGCAGGTGTTTCTCACACCAGCTGACAGAGTCTTCCGAGTTCCAACAGGATCAACAGCAAAATCGAGGGAAGGAGGGTAGTTGATAGCAGCCATCAGCGAAGTCTTCGCTGTGCAATTCTGCGTTGTTCATGTGCAGCTTTGCAAGGAGTTGCAGCTCTCGCTACGTTCGCTACGTGCACCAGACATAAGCCAGTGGCAGTCAACGCCGCAAGCAGGGACCCAGCCAGCCGCGCAGCGGCCAGGCCACGATGCGGCACCCCTGCTCATGAACAACGAGCACCCTAAACCCTAAACCCCCAAAACCCTAAACCCGACACATACGAGCATGTGCCTGCTGAAGCTTGGAAGATCTCCTGCTGCTGGGACAAGGCTTCGCTGGCCACGCCACACAGAAGCAGCGCGACGAGTGCCTGAGACTCAAGCCAGTTCGGGTCGTTTTGACAGTTCCTGCACACCCTACCGGCGCTTCTACACAAGCAGACGCGATCAGACACGGCTAATGCTGTCTTGCAGCAGCCACAGAGCCCGGGTCCTGCACTGAATTTCAATGAACCGTTCAGCAGTCATTTTGTAAGCGCTGACATGTCGTCACAGCCAGTACCAACAGGAATACTGCAGGTCCTGCAGGAGGTCTGCCACTGGATTGTCGTTCTGAGCCTGGGAATGCGAATGCCAGTCGTGTTGAGACTTCTTCTGTGTTTGTGCTGTCTGTGACTCGACCGCTTCGAGCCGTGTAGCTGCCTTCGACTCCGAATCATGTGGCGAAGCATCTGGCCGTTGCGAGCTGTCCTGCCAGTGTTCAAGCCCCTTGGGGCTCGACGTCATGATCCATGTTTCAAGTCATTTCAAGTCGACTTCCCTACGTCCTTGGGTGTCTTGCCGCGTTTCAGGCGCCAGCGCCTCTTTTCCCCTCGAATTCGCCTCTGCTCTGAGATTTTCTCACATCTTTCCGGACCAGTTGTGAACACAACGGACAATGCTTCCGCTTAACTTCCCTCCCTCAACCTGTTCCCCCGTCTTCAGATGCTGGTGCATGTGCGTCTGACATTAGGGCTGGGTGCGCGTGAAACCCTCCGCCAACGCGAACGCACCTCACAGCGGTCCTCCCCGCACTTTACCTGCTTATCACGAAGTGCAGGAACTGCCAACAGGGCCGGCAACCGCGATGGTTCCACGTTAGCTTCACTGCACGTGTGCATCTGCGGACCCTTACCAGTCTTTTGCACACTCCTCATTGCAACAACTATGCGAAAAATTGTCAGGGTAAGTCTGAAGCATGGCATTCGTCCTCGTGACTCACGTGGCTCAAATTGAGTTGATCGTCGGTTGGTGTCTTCAGCCTTCTGTTTCAGACCCTGCAGGCCGTTCGGACCGATTGCATGTTACGAGAATCTTACATGCTTGCTTGCGATGGGAGTCGGAGTCTGAACCCCCCCTGAACTCGAAACTTTGTCCCGTTGTAGACTCTCCCTAGGGCTACGAGCATCTCTCTCCTGCTTGCTTCTGGCTTGAAGATGAGGTATCGCCTTGCTTGCCTGCTTGCTTGCAAGAGGTTTGGCGAACCGAAGTGTGGAGGTCATCTGACACTTGCTACGTTTGTTGTAGGTTTTTCGGATGGGTCGCGTGATGCTGAGTTTTTGTAGCATCGCGCAGCCCTCCACGGACCAGCCCACCTTTACTCGTCTCATATTCTGTTGGAGCACTCTCTCTCCCTGTCGCACGGGCACGATGGCGAGTCCTACGCTTTTACCGTGTCGTGCTCGAACTTCAGCAGCATGTGAGCCAGTCAACGCACATAGGTCAGGGGCTGGAGCAGAAGGGTGCAGCCAAAGAAAGGATTGCTTGAAGAAGGCCAAGTCGCAAAGACAGACACAGGCCCACGAGCAAGAATGGAACAGCTAGTGACATGCCTCAGGAGTCGAGAAATCGGGATGAATGACACTGGAGCGAATGTCGCTTTCAACCTGATCAGCTATGTAGGGCAAGCCGCTCACTCGCAGTGTCAAGCACGGGCCAGTTGGACAGCTTTCTGACACGAAGGCTGTGAAGTAGCCGTCGTGGCCTGCTTAGCATGCAAGTCAGTCATGATTCAGAAGCCTGACATCCAATGAGACATATCAATATCATCATGGTGGTATGATGAGAAGTAAGCCGTCATGGAACTCTGAGGCCGTGACCCCAAGGTTCGGAGGCGACAATCAAGCCCAGAAACTCGCCAAAGCTCCGGATGAGGGCAGCAACCTTTCCAACATGTGCCGTCTCCACTGAGACCAACTTCGAACCCAAGCCGTAAACTAAGCCGACCAAGAGACCGCCAACACATGGCAAAGTCGAGCGGAACTCACAACCACCTGAGCTTCGGGTTCCATGGTGCTCGCACGTATGATCTCCAGATGCCGTCATGGCCTCCGTGCAACAGAACAGCAGCACCAACCTCAGCAGTACAGGATTGTTTCGACTGCACTCAGTGCAAACAACTGCCAGGAAAACAAAGCGCCTCTCGTCAAGGTGCGATTGGCTACTACAGCTTTCCAGATCCACTTGTAGAAGCAACAAGAAGATCAGTGATCCCCTGCGCCGAGAATCTGCACAGCTGCACCAGAAACACCCAGCGCAACGGCAGATAGCATCAATGAATTCCGCACCTTCAGACGTATGTGTCTCAGAAGGCAAACCACAATGACCCGCTTGCCTGTAGTATTCATGTCTCTTGCTTGTGTTCCGGCGACATGATATACATGATGAACGGCTTAACTAAGTTCTGCCTGGGCACCAGCGTGGCATCGTCACTAGGAGACCCAACCGTCGGCAGCAGCATGGTCACGAAGAGGAAAACCACGAAAGCTGCACCAACCAGCCCTGGCGCCGGAGATATCTTGTGAAAGCTGGAATGGCAAGAAAAAGGTCAATCGCGATAATAAGTATGTGAGAAAATCAGCCAACGATGCGTCGAGCTGGGCCGCAGTTATCGCTGCTGGCTGCCTGTTGCGGCTGAGTTCACTTGGCGCTTGGCTTTGGTACCTCCCACCTTGGCCAGGAGCACTCCGAGGGAGGGCAGGACGCTGAAGCTGGCAATTGGCAAGGCCATGGACGTCCAGCTGAGCAGGGAAAGCCGCGAATCTGCAAGCGCGCCCCATGTTGCCAAATCTGCACGAAGCCTGAACGAAGACGTCCTGCTGGCATGTTCCTCAAACATCTCGATGACCATTGCGACAGGTAGCAAACCTGCAGTCACATTGCACTGCAAATCCTACCACCTGCTGCAAGCAACGCCCGAAACACGCTACATGTTGTGACCAAGGAGATCTCCTCCAGCTGTATGCGCAGCCGCCACAGTTTGGAGGCAGGCACGGCTCCTGCATGCAGTGTCCTGACAGTGGCAGGTGTCGCGAATGACTTGTGCAAGGGCGGAGTCTCTTCTCCAGGGTCGCTGCGCAACAGCCTTCTTCATCAGAGAAAAAATCCTTGGACAGCAGGTACGGTCTCTGGCTGCAGCTGTCGCGCATATCTCAAATGACCGGCACGGTCTCCACCCAAATCACTAGCTCTTGCGTGCAGCTGTACCGAAGCAGTTGCTCTGCGAGGAATATCCCTGCAATCGCTCATGAAGCGGTTCATCTGTTGCACTACACCCAGTCTCAGGTATCGGTGCTGTTTCGAGTAAATGCAGCAAGCCTCCTGGTTGAACACCGCTAGCCTTCGCATGTTCTGAGCGTATCAGACACTCAGACTTTGTGAAGGGCGGCTCTGCACGTGAAGAACCCTGAACCATCTCCAAACCCAAACAGAGCAAAGACTCCAAGTCCGATTGTGGCCGCGCAAATGCGGCGGGCGGCAGGCGAGGCTTTGGTGCCATGCCGGGCCCCAAGCATCACTTAGGCTTCAGGGAATGTCTTCGAGGTTTGGCTACAGGATCTGTATCCTCTCCAAGTGGGCAAGTCTTCTCAAGTCAGTTCTCTGCCATGTCGCAATATCGCAGGGCATAAATGCATCCCACTGAGCAATCCAAATTTAGCGTCTAAGGGCTGACGTGATCATCCTGCTGCAAACACGTCGCAAGCAGCTCATGTCATCTCCGTGCAGTGCCATCATGAGGCGACCAGCAGGACAGCCCTTAAATTAAACTGCTTGCGAACACATCTTTTGTCACCAGCCCTTCCGGAAGGGGTGGGGGAGGCTGCCAGACACCTGAGCAGCTCTCACAGGAAAGGCACTGGGTCTGCCAAGACCGTGGAACTTGCGATCTGATGTCATTGATCCATATTGCACATTATTGCACCGTGCACTAACGGACTAACGGCACCAACGACAGGCAGCCCCGGTGCAATCCCGGTGGTCCCGCTTACGCATCCGAGTTTGCAGGGCCGTCGAAGTGTAAGATGTAGCTTCGAAGAATCACTTCATGCGAACCATGTAGGCGCACATTGCCATCTAAATTACACGTTGTCCTAAATCGAAGTTGCCTTTATGCATGAATTGCATGCGATGCTCTGACATTTTCTCATCGTATCGACCAAGCCACGCACCCAACCTCTGCAAGAAAGGTTAAGCCGACTTGCAGTCGCAGCAGGGCCCAGGGCTTGCTTAGGGGCTTTCAGGGCAATGACTACTGTCACCATCCCTGTACCTTTCCATAACTTCCATGGCGGAGGAGGGTTTGGTAAAGTCCCCCCCCCTCTAGTCAGGAAAGTCCGCAGGAGCCCTGGAATTATCTGCAAATCAATGCAAAGAGCCTGTACACCGGAGAAGGGCCTGATCCTGCTTCTCATCCAAGGAACGGTAGGAATGAAGAAGACAGCTGTTTTCTCAGAACGAAGAGTTGAACACACAATGGCAAGCTCATCCTCATTGACAAGCAACTTTCCTTGCTTGCTGTCTTCAGGAGGGGTGGCAAAGAGCCAAGCCCACATTCGGAGGTGCCCCGGACACTATTCCAAGATGATTCCATTCACAGACGTGCCCGTCTTGCTCTTGGGAAGCCGAATTTCGATGCACCAGCTGCCTTCGTCTTCCTAGGAGGACTCCACCTTGCTCATTCTCACCTCACCTCCGAGCGGGCAGGAGTTTCGAGCAACATGGACATCATGGGTCGGGGCGGAAGGGAAAGCCTTGCTGTTGCATTTCGCTGCTGCGAATTACGGCAAAATGCTTTGGTCTGGATCGGCCAGAAAACTTCATTGATACGTTCTGCACTTCGTCACTACGTTCAGGCCATACATCTCCAGCCGCTGATGAGCATGCGTTGCGCAAGCGCCGCACTGGTGCCAGTGAATTCCAATCCAGGCCTCTGTCCTCTGCAAAAAAGCTGGTCGACTCAAGCCGTCCAGAAGCTCACGTCTCCGACTTGTGGTCCAGCTGTGAACGCTGCGAACGTCATTAAACAAAGTGCGCACGTGCGCACAACTTGCCCCAGCACAGCCAGCTGTGCAAGTGCAACATCCTTACCTGAGTGCTGGGGCATCAGGTGCTCTTTCCGACTTAAAACAAATCCTCCTGTAGCCGTTTGGCTCAACTTCGGCTGGCTACGGTCGTTGCTGACGTGTGCCTGCTTCGGGAAGACTCTTCGGCTCGGAGGCCACAGGAGGATTTGATGAAAAAAATTACGACACTACACATGATATGCTGAATTGGGCTCTCAACCGGACTGACTATCCATCTTCAGTCAGGGACACTTTGGTGGAGACCTCAGGCTGCATAAACAAGCAATAGCTTCACTGGACTGCAGGACAACTGCTCGAATGCTTGAACCGGACGTGAGACCACTTCCTCTCTGTCGGGACAGAGAGTGACTCACTCAGCGAGTCAGTGAGTTAGTGAGTGAGTGTATCAGTGCGTGCGTGCATGAGTGCGTGTGTGCGTGCCGGCGGGCGGGCAAGGCGGGCGGGCAGGCGGGCGTGCGAGCGCGTACGTGCGAGGAATCGTTCGAGCGAGTGACCGAGCGAGCATGCGAGCGTGGTGCGAGCGTGCGAGCGTCGTGCAAGCGTCGTGCGAGCATGTGCGAGCGTCGTGCTAGCTTGCGAGCTGCGTGCCTGCTTTCTTGCGTGCTTGCCTGCCTGCCAGCCAGCCAGCCAGCCAGCCTGCCTGCCTGCCTGCCTGCCTGCCTGCCTGCCTGCCTGCCTGCCTGAGCATGAGCGAGCGAGTGAGTGAGTGCGCGACTGAGTAACAGAATTGGAGATTATGATATCAGCTTTACAGGTATTGTACATGCATCTCAGGTATACGGTATACGGTATACACATGCCACATACACACAGACATACATGCATACATACATGCATAAAACGTATTTTGCATACATACATATACAATTTCATATATAATTTCACTTATTATACATACATGCAGAAATACATACTGCGTGCCAGGAGGCTCATTGTCGCTCGCTGGCGTGCCGACGAAAGCTCATCAAGCCAGGTCTTGGTCCAGGGACGTCCGACAGTAGCGACAGAAGTGGCGCATCACCGCGAGATACTGCGAAGCGCCTCGGCTCCCAGGTCGGTGTCACGGCAGCGAAGATGGCAGCGGCCAAGGCCTGGGGCACTGGGCGCTCAGAGAGAGACGACGTGCCTCACTGCGGCCGAGCTCTCGGCTGATTTCGAAGTCCGTGTGGGATTTCTGATTCAAAGCCTTGTCATTGAGACCTCGCTCGAGACTCTACACATCTCTACACTGCAAGCGGACCGGCGGTCTGCACACTGAGGCCTAGCCGCTCCCCTGCTGCACTGAAACTGACTGCTGGGACTGCATCACAGTGATAATCCTAGTCTGCGCAGGGAAGCATGTGCAGGCTCTCACTCGGCCGCGGACTCTCAGTCATGGTCTCTTGCCTCGCAGTGCCTGCGCAATGTTGACGACAGTCGGCCACATTTCCAGCTGCGACTACCACACGGATATGTGAGCAAGGAGGCAATCTGCCCGCTTTGCATCAACTGGGCCTCCACTGTCAGCAAGATCGACATCTCGAAGTACTGTACGACCACGACTGTCGAGCCTGGGAATGCAACCGTTTCTGTAAGTCCAGCATTGCCGAAGTTAACGGTCTGCAGAACCGACACTGAAACCAAGACCGCGGCACGAGAAGTCGAGGTAAGTCTGTCAAGACCAGAAGCTGCGCATCAGGACGGTTTTTAAAAATGCAACTGACAGCATGGATGAAATGAACAGGAGCACACCCCATGCCATGCAAACCTCTCTTCACCTGCAATTCGCTGTTGGGCGTCTCGTCCACAACAAATTACTGATGCCATTGCGAGTGATAGCACGTTGACTGCGAACCAGCCTCAATCCTGGCAAACCTTCTTCTAGAACACCAGGAGATGATACTTGACATGATACTACTAGTTCTAACAGCTAGCATCTGTCAATGCCACCCCTTGCGGAACCAAGATGGATGATCTAGCCACAACCTCGCACATGCCGTCATGGTCCACGAGCCTTTTTTGGTGAGTACACAAAACGAGACCGCCCGAGTGAGACCGGATGCCCTGAGGCTGCTAAGAAAGCCAGTCGATGTCACAGGTGGATAGGCGTAGTTGCATTGCACCCTACGGCGTGTGCGTGCAGAATGCTACATACTCTCTCTTTACCATCCATCAACCATCGTGTTTGATGTGACAAGGATCAACTCACGGCTCGCTTCTTCGCCAAGGCAGCTGCCCTGCGGCTGTGCGCATGACAACACACGACACTTCCGCTCTCCAACGGCAACTTTGGACTGAATGCAACCAGACAATCCGCCCAAGACCCTGTAAGCAGTGGGCGCTATCGCGAACGCTTCCAGGGGCGCGATTGGTCCCCGGAAGTCCAAGCAGAAGACGTCCTCCACTACTACTCGCGTCGAGGATCGTTTGCTCATTTTGCTGCGATTTGACAGGGACTCAAGCAGAGTGACACCAGACCCGTGCGGCCCGGGCACCTTTGACACCTTCCCGAACATCAAATAGATGGTGTTCGGATCCTCAGCTTGGCCATTCTCCCCCGGCCATGCCGCTCGAGGGTCCCAACAGCTCCACTGTGAAAGGAACACCTCACTCGTCTATGGTTGAGATGAGTCGACCTGCCTCGGTTCATGCCTTCACATCTCCAAGGGCAGCACCGCATTCACAACGAGCTGAAAATTCTTCGCGCTCGCTTTTTTAACCTGGCATGCCGTCACTCTTTGTCTGAACGCTGTGGCATTCGCCTTCCATTCTCACGCACGCTCCCTTATGCAGTCGACCAAGCTTCCGAATACCGTACTGCCACGCCGTCGTCAGATCCGTCTGAATCTTGCGAAAACTGAACTGAATGTGGGTTTGCGCACCCGTCCAAAGAAGGGCAAGGCATAGGAGTTCAGCTTCTTGTCCTCGGAGCGATCAGCAACAGCTCTAGCTAGCTTCATTTCACCAAGTGGACGCCGATGGGTCGGTCATGCAATTCAGAGAATGAGAAGGGCAAGCATAGGAAACAACAATGTGATGACATTTTGGGAGCAGACAAAGACAGACAGAGTCCGAAACCCATCGTGGCTTCAAATTCTCCATCTTTGGCCTGATCACAAAGCCGTCACCATGTCAACCCTACTCCGGCAAAGCAACGACATGCTTCGCCTTTCGCTATTGTGGACGTACTCGACTGAAACTCTCCTGAACGACTACAGCGTTACTCTGCACGCTGCGAGGCGACGTCGCTGATCAAGGCGGCAGAATCACTCCCTGGTCCTTGGGCTGTCTCCGAAAACGTTGGTTTCGTACCCAATTTTTACGATGGTCTTCCGCGGCCTGTGCGATGTGCTGGGCACGCAGATTGGGTTCATGGATGTCCCTGTTGCCAGTTCTGCTAGTCACTGAGCCTGAGAGGTAGACCACGGAGCCATTCCCCACGCTTCATTAGCTCCTCTACCTGCCGTGGCAAAGCGAAGCCGTTCCGAGCTCTGCCTGTCGGACATTATGAAGCCCGCGGGTCTGGCATCCGCCCCACTGTCATAGAGGGTGAAGAGAGTTCCCCAGAAGTTTGGCGCCACACTGCCGATGTATTCCTCATCACGGCATGTCTGTTTTTGCAGGTCACCTCAAAGCTGCGGGCAGAGCATGGCCTGGCAGTGCTCCGACTTTTCTGGACCGGCTGCCTCCCCAAATGCTTCCTAGCACTTATGCTCCGGAGGCTCTGGATGCTGCCTTGTGGGCATAGATTCGGCAAGGACTTTGCTCATCTTCCCTTCAGCGACAGCTGGTGTGGTGGCATTGCATGTTCAGTTCAGATTCGCCTCTGGGCCGTCATCAGAATCTCGTCCGAATGGTCCAGACGCAACCTGGCAAGGCGCATGTGTGGTGCTTACTAGTAGCACTGCTCAGCTACAAACCAGCGAGCATTGAAAGCGTCAAGAAGCTCGTAGAAGTGGGGGTAGCCCCCATCCTCAGAACGCACCCGGCGGACCTCGGAAGAAACATAAATCCGTTGTTAGCGGTTATTCCTTGGATCAATCACGAACTACGCTGCCTGGCAGAGAGTGTAGCAGTCCGTGGAGGTGAGCCACTGCCTCGCAAGCCCGAGTCGGCCGGACATAAGCTCTGAAAGCGCCGGCCTGTGCTTTGCAGCAATGTCTTCCTCCAAAGCCTGCAGTTGCTGCGTCGCAAAGTGCAGATCAAGGCTAGACTCGACGTTGGTGCGTACCTGGAAATACCAGGCCTTGGAAAGAACTTTCAAGGGTGTTTTGCAGATCGTTCGGTGAGCCAGATACCCGCCTGTCAGTGTAAAAATGCGCTTCAGGGAGCATGCGAGTAAGGCAATAAAGGACAAAAGGCCGGGTGCAGACATGAGACACTGGTTCTGAGATGGCTTTTGGCTGATCTGGAAGCTGCCAGTTTCCACGCAAAGACTTTCAAGCTGATGTCGAAAACGAGCACATGTCCAGTCGTGATCTGTCTGCAGGCCTTTCAGAAGTCGGACAGGGTTCGCTCCCTGCAGCCATTCTTCCGGCACCTGGCGTTTGCCCGATAGCATTAGCTCAAGAAGCCACCACTTCAGCACCACCACCTTGTCCCCCACAGTGTCGGCACGAACAACTCGAAGATGCTTGGCTCTGCTGGACGTGGTTTTGATGACTCATGGGCTGCTTAGCTCGAGGTAGTCAAGAACACGTGCGAGATGCACCCCTGTGGGACCACACAGTTCTTCACGGATGCGCCTTCAAAGCTGCCACAAGTGACGATCACTAGGTTGGCCAAAAGGCTGGAAGCTTTGGCATAAGATGAGGCTTGTGCCAGTAGGCATGTCTGAGAAGCACATCATCTCCGATGGCCTTGTTGGGTCGTCACTGAAATTCTCAAAAGCACATCGTGCATCGTCGTGATGCGCAAAATAATTGTTCACCAGCACCACCCAAGAACCCATTGGTAATGGCAATGACTGTGCTTCTCTTCTTGAGCAGAGACTTGCAGCACGCCGAGATTCCGGCATGACCGACGGCCAGCACCAAGGCCACCTGCACTCGATGAACGACGAGCATGCCAACACGGTGTGAGTGCCATAGGTACATCAGGGCTCCATGCCATTGTGGGGTCCGTGTCTTGCAGCACCAATTCACGGCATGCCTGCAAGGAGACGGGCCCGGCGCGACGGGCCTCCCCTCAATTCTGCGGCAAGCTCTGCAGGAAATTAAAACTTGAGAAGAGGGCCACGAAAGCACTAGAGAAGCGCTAGCTCAGTGCACGACAGCGGTACCTCGATGACCTCTCCGAGCTCGAGCACCACAGCCCAAAGAAGGATCGTGAAGAGTTGGGTCCCTACCTGTTCATGCTGCATGCAGCCTTGCAAGGTACTTGCACGGAAGGCATGGATAGGGGAACTAGGCCGAATCAGGCATGCTCTCTTCTTGGAGGCTCCCCTTGTCTCGGATCAGAAATCTATAAGGATTGAGAGCTACAAATCCCGCTCGCCTCTCGAGCATTGAGGCAGAGCTGACGAGAGACCAAACCGATTGTAGAATTAGGTCGTCGCCCTCACAGCACTCAGGATCATGTCTTCGTAAGCTGGCTGAGCACGCAACCATCTTGGCAGCCGCCACCGCGCTTTGGACGGTCATCGTGCCCTGTGCTGTGCAATACACAGCAGCATCACTGCGCACAGTCTGACTTGATCATTGTTTCGCGAAGCAACAGCCAACTGGGGAACGCGCGACGGGCGCGGCAAAATCCAAGCCTGGGTCAGCTTCTGTCAGTCTCGACCCAATGACCATGTACACTAAGTTTGGCCCTTGCTGGATGGGTCTCTCAGAATCGCTAGCCGAGTCGTTGTCGTAACTGCATCAGCTGAGCACGGAGCACTGCAGGAGGCTCGCAGGTGACAGTAGCTTCTGGCCTCTAATGCATGAACCAGGACGTGCCGATACTTTCAAATCAAAGTCTCACACACACACGCACACACACACACACACACATTCCCCTTGCACATCATCGCCGGTGCCCGCCTGCTCCCTGCGAAGGCAGAGACAATTCCAAGCTTCGCGGGGCGAAACTGGCACAGTCAAAGCAGCAAACAACCAAGCAGCACATGCAAAGAACGCGAGGTCTCAAATGTGCCCTCACGGACTAGCATGACTGGCAGTGGCTACATGACATACGTTCACACTCGATGCAATTGTGCACCGTTGCTTACTGTCCAAGGGCACCACATCTTGCAGGACACGCTGGCGACACTGTGCGACCTTCAACATCGATCTTTGATTGCCGGTGCAAGCTTGTCATGTCCTTGTGATGCCAAAGGCTTCCCATCTGAGCTCCCGGACGCCACAGGCTCACCGATGGGAGCAAATGCATCCTGGATGCACTGGTCAGAACCCAGGACCAACGATCGTTCAGGATCCCACGTTGCTCGTGCTCTTGCAGAATCAGAAACTAATTAATCGAACAGAGCAAACTTAACTTTCGAGATCACCCTTCTGTCCTCGAAGTCATCCTCGCCCGCTAAAGATCGTGTGAGCACAGTGCCTTGCAGGCGCCCAGAGCGACATCCTTCCCAAGCTGTCAAACCCCTTGCCTTCTGGCGCTACGAGCCCTTGTGTCAGCCAGGGGCTCCTTTCATGGGCAGCGCCATAAATCGGCTGCCGAAGGCATTTTCGGAGTCTCCTTCGCACCATGTCTTCCTCCATCCAGGAAGCAACTGTGGTGGCACATACGTTCATCGGAATCCTTAGATGCTAGCTGCGACCTACTTCGACACGAATACGCATGTGTTGAAGGGACATGACGCTGTCCTATTGTCGGAGCTGCAACCCGGACACTCCTGACCATCAGCTGAATTTCTTACCTTGGCTGACTGGAAAGCTCGTCTCGTGCTATGTCCAAACCACCAACTGAAGCGTGGGCTTAGGGACACTCACCTCCTAAAACGCTTGAGGATCGTCAGTCCAGGTGGGTGGAGGCTCAAGAGGCATGGGATTAATTGAAACATGAAACATCTTGGGGGCTTGGTTCTCTGACTCATTGCACTGACTGGATTCTCAATGACAGCAGCTGGCACCAAGAGCACAGAACAGGCTTTGAGGTGGGCTCTCAGCTTCTCGACTTTCCCTGCCTCGTAGCTCAGCTGCGGCTCATCGTCGCGGCGCTGGTGGATTTTCAACAAGACCTGCGAGGGTCTCGGCGGTTTGGCATTCACGTTTTGCCTTTGAGACTCTGTCAGATTACTGGCCTTTCCCACGCCGCCTCCCGGGGGCTGAGGGTCCCCGAGTCTAGGAAAGGCCGGCCGAGCCTGTTCACGGATGTCAACAGCAAGAAGCAGAGGCCCGAGCATGTTCTTGGGCCAGCGGCGTCAACTTATGGCTGTCGGAGTACAAACTGGCAAAAGCAGTAGTGTGGATCACTTCCCCTTTTGGGAGCTCAGATACAACTGCTCCTCCTAGATGCTGCTACTTCTGGCCTATGATTAAGGATGAAGCCTCGTCGTCGTCAGCAAGCTGAGCTGCAACGGCATACCCCTGTTCGGCACACAAAACAGGACGCGGTGAAATTGCAAGGACCCCCCAATGATTCGTTCATACTCTCATAAGGCATTCTCACCACTTCGCTTGAGATAAGTCCGACTTCTACTGATGCATAGCACACTAAGCACTGCATTGACAGTCCAGAAACAGCATGATGAAACCGGCTGTTAAGAAACTTCACCCCAGCTTATTTCAAGTGACCGTTTTCATCAGCTTCCCGCACAACCCACACACGCAGACACACTCACACACGACTATAGGAAACTCTTCGAAAAGGAAGCAGCTGTAACATCCATGCCGCATCCAATCTGTTGAAGCTGATTGCTGCTGAGAAGCACCGCCGGGTCCATGCAGCATGGCTTGGAGTGGCTTACAGAAAACATGGTACGTAGGAAATTCACTACAGTGAAAACGTTTTTTGGCTTGCGCAACGTGCGTATGGACGAGTATAGTGTTGCGCCGGCTTGCTGAGTCTGTCGCGCAGTACTGTGGAATAAGGCGCGTCTCATCACAACAAGATCGTCGGGCTTTGACCTGAAGTCCTGGAACTTGTCAATGAGTCCTGACGGCTCTGGTCCTAGCCGCCTTCATCACGATGTGGCGCGGACGCTGATCCCGTCCAGCGGCATAAGATAATGAGGCTTCTTCCATGCCAGCAAGTTCTGCCCACACAAGAAATATCAAGAAATCAATCGACAGCCATGCGATGCCATGCGAATAGTAATGGGCACGGCTGATGCACCCTCGGCCGAAGGCAAGGAATGAAGCGCTGCACGACAAGGCCACCAATTCGGACATCCTTCACGCAGAAATATTAGAGGGACGTTCATTACATCATTATCATCTAATCTCATCATCATCTTCTTGCGTCATCACTGTCACTACTACTACTACTACTACTACTACTACTACTACTACTGCTACTACTAATACTGCTACTGCTACTACTGCTACTACT